TTTTGTTGTTGTGTGTGGTGGTGTTGTTGTTGTTGTGTGTTTGTGGTCTGAGCGTTTCTGCAGTCGTGTGCCCGTGAGCACATTTGTGTTTTTGTGTGGTGCCATTGTTGTTGTAGTTGTGTGTGTCGTTGATGTAGTTGTTGTTGTTGTCATTTTTGTTGTTGTTGTGTATTGTGTGTTGTTGTAGTTTTCTTGTGTGTTTTTGTGTGTTGTTGTAGTTGTGTGTCTTTGTGTGTTGTTGTTGTAGTTGTTGTGTGTTTTTGGTGTGTTGTTATTGTGTGTTGTTGTTGTTGTTGTGTGTAGGGCTGGGCGATATAGCTAAAAAATTTATCAACGATATAATGTTTCATATAGTTCTGTATCGATAATTATTGACATTTTTTTATAACCTTTTTTAAAACAAAGAGCAATAGAAAAAATGTTTACATTTAACCACTGCATTTTTAAATTAACCCAATTTATTGAGACAAACAACAAATATTTTGTTTTAACAATCAATTTCTAATGTTTTGTATGCAGATTAAATAGGTCTGAAGGAAACTTTTGTCTTGTCTCCCGAGGCCACAGGAGGGCGCAAAATAATGCAGCACATTAAATTGTCAAAGCGAGGAAGTAACTCTATAAAAAAAAATATATAATTTCGTAAATTGCATAAACAATTATGAACAAAACAGCATCATGTATTTATGCATTGCTTAATCCAAAGAACCGAAGCGCCGATCACACAGACTGCATTTAAAAACATATGAGACGTAGTGAAAAGGAATAAATTCGCAACGTGTTTTCTAAAAGTTTAAACTGTTTTAACGTTGCATGGCTTTCTATACATCTCTTGTGTGAGACGTGAGTGCAGCAGTCGTATTTGTCCATCTAAAAATGCGCTGAATATGTGTTCTGTGTGAATGGCTTGGTTTGGCTTTTAACCTAATCAAGATCTTCTAGGAATTGAGCTTCTATATTTTCTCTAAATGAATAACGCAGCAGCGGCGTGTCTCGTGGGCTAGACTAACAACACATTCAAATGCAACAACGTCACTTACATCATCATCCCCGCATATCGCTCCACTGATGACGCTCCCTGACGCACACCTAGCATTCAAATGCAAATGTTTATTTTAAATTCGACTAATATTCAATCTTTATTCACAATATCCTCATCACAGGCAGCACAGCACTCATTTCAGCATGTGTTTGTGTTTGTGTGAGCTGTCTGCATCACTCAGAGCAATGCGCTAAATATGTGTTTTGTGTGAATGGCTTGTTTTCGTTTTAACCTAATCAAGATCTTCTCTGCATTGAGCTTCTATATTTCTCTAATATTTTGAATGAATAACGCAGCAGCGGCGTGTCTCGTGGGCTAGACTAACAACACATTCAAATGCAACAACGTCACTTACATCATCATCCCCGCATATCGCTCCACTGATGACGCTCCCTGACGCACACCTAGCATTCAAATGCAAATGTTTATTTTAAATTCGACTAATATTCAATCTTTATTCACAATATCCTCATCACAGGCAGCACAGCACTCATTTCAGCATGTGTTTGTGTTTGTGTGAGCTGTCTGCATCACTCAGAGCACGTGACTATATCGTGCGCTATATCAAACAATTTTTCTATCGTTATCGAAGAAGGTGTACCGTCGATTAATATCGATACCGTTTTATCACCCAGGCCTAGTTGTGTGTTGTTGTAGTTGTGTGTGTGTGTGTGTGTGTGTTTGTTGTACATCAGTGAGCTCTACCGTCAACAGCTGCTTTTCTGTACTGCATGAAGCCCATTTTAATGCTAGTGGAAAGTGACTGTAGACAGTGTGTGTGTTTGTTTGTATGTGTGTGTGTGTGTGTGTGTGTTTTGTTGTAGTTGTGTGTGTGTGTGTGTTTTGTTGTAGTTGTGTGTGTGTGTGTGTGTGTGTGTGTACGCTGCTACAGGGCTCGACGGGCCTCCTGACACATCTGCTGTCTGACAGTAAAGTCGCTCCTGCTCTGCCTGCAGCGAAGCGTCTTCAGACGAGACTGACGGCTGGTGTTTCACTGGAGAACTCAAGCATTAGCCGGAGTGCTGATGCAGCAGAAGTGATGGATGATCACTGCTAGTGCTCCTAGTAACTTCTGTTTCATGTCTTATTATTATTTTATCTCATCCTCTGGATTTTGGGATGTTTAGGTGTAAGGATGTAACGATAAACTGCGAGCCGGTTGAAAATCGATTCGAATATGTGACGATTCAAATCGGTTGAGATGCTAAACAAATCCTGATTAATTTAGGGGCAGGAGTTTATATGAATGCATGTCTGAGGGGAACTTACTGTCTTTAGAAAAGTTTAGATGGTATTTTTTCTTTTCCTCTTGCCTCTGTATAATGCATATTAAAGTTCATTAGTGCAGCGCTGCTTTGTTTACAGCGGTAACCAAGGAAACACTGTATCATTGCCGTTCATAAGCGCAGCGCTGCTTTGTTTACAGCGGTAACCAAGGAAAGGCTTTAAGCGCCACCTGCTGGCAGAGAGTGCATCTGCGTCTCGTTCAGCTCGTCTGCTGTTTCGGTTTCATGCAGATATTTTTATGCATAGTTTCACAAAACTCAAGTCATTCTGTTTTTGCTTCAAATTTCGAAATTAGTCTAATTTAGGTTAAAAACTGCTGGTGTTGCATGTAAGCAGCATCTTTGTTTGGATGATGATTAAAACGCAGTGTTTGCTTCTAAGTTTAAATGTTAAGAGCACAGACAAAGCCTCAGTTTGTTTATATGAAGAGATTTATTTTATTTGTGTTACTTATTTATTTGAGGCTTGTTTTCAGTGTAGTTTTGTTATTTACATTTACATTATATTAAAATGTAGTTATTTAGCAGAAGCTTTTATCCAAAGCGACTTACAAATGAGGACAACAGAAGCGATCAAAACCAACAAAAGAGCAATAATATGCAAGTGCTATATTAGTATAGTATTATAGTTATATTTCAATTTCACAAAGAAACGTGCAGCATTTTGTCCAAACAATAATAAAAGGACACATTTAATTTATAATTTGTCTTAAATCTCATTTTGTAAAAAAAAAAAAAAAAAATCTAAATCGAATCGTGAGTTGAGTGAATGGTTACATCCCTATTTAGGTGTCAGTGGAGCGCTGAAGTGCTGCTGCCACACTGATGCTGAATCCTCGAATGCTTTGTGTTCTTCTGCTGCTTCCTTCCTTCCTTTCTTTCTTCTGCTTGTTTTCTCGCTCTTGTGTTTCTTCTTTTTATTGTTCTTCTGCTGCTGCTTCCTCAGATGATTTGTTGGTCAGTGTTAGTAATTGTGAAAATAATGACATCCATTGGTTGAGATATTTTTGCATCATGCATGAGTTCTTGTGGAACAAATGAAGCAATAATATACCTGTGTGTGTGTGTGTGTGTGTGTGTGTGTGTGTAAATTATAGAAAGAAGCACAAGTCTTCATGTAAATGACTAGTGTGTATATCAGTGGGAACTGAAGTGTGAGTTTGTAGATCCTACTAGAGGAAACACAGCGAACGGCCTGGGATTCAGAACAACACTGAATGTGGCTCAGCTTCCAGCTGATGATGAACCAGAGACAATAAATCTTCATTGCAGGGTTTTTCTCCGCAAGAATGCTGTTGATTTCATTTCATTTACATTACGTTTTCATGTAATGAATGTAGTCGTAGACTGCAATAGATTGCTCAGTGTTTGTAGAGTTACAGTGAAGTTTGATGATTCTGCAGTGTTTATCCGAGCTGAACACATCACAGAGCCTGCGTGTCTTTGGACTGACATTTGAAGTGTGTTTTGAGCGTTCATTTCATTTGACTGTAGTCATGACCTTCACACTCACACAGACGCAAGAGTTTAGAGCTGTCAGCGCCGAGCGCTCTGCTCAGATCACTGCTGCGCTCTCTGTGTGTTTCCCCTGCTCAGTAAATCAAATAAAAAAATAACTTACTTTCTTCAGTGGAACACAAAAGAAGATATTTTGAGAAATGTCTCAGTGTGTTTTTTCTCCGTGTAATGAGAGTTAATGGGTCCAGTGTAATCTGGTTCCCAAGAAGAAAGGGAGTCCTACAAGTTTGAAGCCACATGAGTGCCCATAAATGGTGACGAAATGATCATTTTTGGTGAACTGTCCCTTTGAAACGCAGGCAGATGAATTCAGGACAGCATATGCACATACTACACTTACTGTTTGTGCCATTTAAAATGATCCCAGATATAGTATGAGTCGTACACTATTGGTCAGTCAAACAGTTAGTCCCGCCCTAAACTCCTGTGATTGGCTGAAGTTGATGTCAGGTGGCTCAAATGAGCAGAGATCAATACTGTGAACGTGTCAGAGGCTCTGTTCAGATAGATTTGTGACTCAGATCTGTTCTTCATAACAGTGTGTTATTCCGTTTTGATTTGGATCTGAGCAGTAAATCAGAGTTGATCACTAAAGGTCCTTGCACACTGAGACTGTTTGTTTTGTTGTTATGTTTTTTCGTATTCGTCATCCTTTCCTATCAAAATGCAGAGTGTAAACGTGATTGACACGTGAGGTCATATTCATTTTTTAATGTGCAAACATTTCGGAGTCGGTGTGCAAAGACCTTAAGGCTTACGGTGTGAACAGATTGAGCCGCTCGCGCTGGAGGCCTGTTCTCCTGAACTTTGCCAACAGTTTTGCAGTAATTAACCTAATTCAGCTGAGCTGCTAAACGTCTCTCAGGTCAATATCACAACTAGACACTGATGAATCTGGTGCGAGAGCGAGTGGGGCGCTGAAGTAGAAGCGCCTCTAATGAGCGTTTGACCCGTGTGAAACACGCTTAAATGTGAAACTCATATATGCTATTGTCTTTCACTGCCTGACGTTTCGTCTTCTCTCGCTCGCTGGCTTTGAGCGGGTCAGTTCTCCAGTGAAAGACTGGTGTGTGATTGTCAGATGTGTGACTGTGAAGCATGGCACTAACTCTGTCTTTCTCTCTCTTTCTCTCCTCGGTGCGGTCCGGGAACAGAAGAGTACGCTGTGGAAGGTAAGCGGCTGATTAATAACGGTTAAAGATGCTGTGTGATGGTGAGGATTGGTGTCGGCGGCAGCCAGGCCGCTCTCAGATTGGACTGCGGTTTTGGCGACTTCTGGGGGCTTTGATTTGCTGCGGAGCGAGATTTACTCTTCCTCCTTTGTTTCTTTTCTTCTTATGAGTTGGTTTGATTTTTACTTTTCGATCAGTGGAAATGGAGCAGATGCAGCTGTCAGTGCGGTTGTTTTGTGGTCGTGTAGATCAGTTCTCACATGATTCTCTGAGGTCAAAGGTTAAACCCTCCCGACGGTGTCACTCTGACAGATATGACGCGAGACCAAACTCTGCTCGCGTCCGTCGAGGGCCAGATGTATTTACCCATAATTCCCCCGCAGGCTGGATTTGTCTGCGTAATTGATGGCGCTGTGTTTGGTGTTTGGGGATAAGGCGCAGGTATCTGGATGTTTTCCCGCTATCAGGACACCGCTGATGGATTACCCCTCTCTACCCAGCATGCCTCGGGAGGCACGTCGCTATGGCAACAGAGCAGATGTGTGTGTGTGCGTGAGCTGATGATGATGATGATGGCAGAACGCTCTTCATTGGCAGCATCCTCATGGATGTTATCCAGACGGTGTTTTCAGATTGATTTGCACAAATCTGATAATAGTGAAGCTGGAAATTTGCATTAATGTCTGAGCAGCAAGAGCTTAAGCACCATTGGAAAATCATTTTCAGGCATATCAAATTTCACGTCACAATAATTGAAGCTTTTATTACGGTATTGAATTATGTTACAAAAACATTAAGCCTTTTCCTCTTAATAACAATTTTAGCAGCAAAAAGAACATTTAAATACAATAAAACAATAGACACAATTGTATGACGTAAATAAATGTTTCAAGTAGAAAAGAACACAACTATAGAGAACAATAATCATTTTCAGCCAATATATACCTTTTCTGGGCTGGCCTGGTTGAGTTCAGATTAAAATGTAAAAATGTATAAGTGTAAACAAATGTTAGCAAATACATATTAAGTCTTCAAGTGTGACGTCTGCTGGCGTTGTGCCGGTCAGTCAGTAAACTAGAGAGGCTCTAGAGATCTCAGCGCTGACCCGGACACGCTGGACTCTGATCCACAGAAGCGGTCAGACAGGGGCTGTGGATTAAAACATCTGCTGCTTGTATATGAGCATCTGTAAGATACAGACAGAGAGCGAGACGAGCAGCACTGGAGCTCACATGAACACTGAACACACTGATTAGATCATTCCTGCAAACTCCAGAAGACTAGTACGGACCGTTAATGTGGTAATTAGTATGCAAACCTCTGATATTTGAAGAGTCAGCTCATTTTTGCCCGTTATTTGACTGATTATCTGTGATTTAACTAAACCTGCAAGAGTTCATTAGATTCTTACCTGGATTGCAAAAAGGCCATTTTATTAATCAGCTTCAGGTCTTGAAACAGTTCTATCATCTTCAAACAGAGTTTCATTACATTTACATTCATGCATTTGGCAGATGATTTTATTCAAAGGGACTTTTGAGAAATGTCTCCACGTGTGGTTTTCTCGCCCATGTAATGAAAGTCAGTGGGCTCCAATGTTGTTTGGTTCCCAACGTTCTTCAAAATATGCTTTATGAAAGTCTGTTATGATGGCGAGTTACTGATGTAAAAAAGATAATTTGTGGATGATATTTATACAAAACTTTTTTATGCTTCTAATCAGTTCCAATTGTTATGCTTCTAATTCTAATCAGTTCCACATCACAGGTTTCAGTTTTATTTTCAGTTAGCAAAACCAGTTTTCAGGTACAATGTCTCTTTCAGATCGTTGTCAGGCAATCTTTTGTCCTGATCTTGTGGTAGGGATGTTAATGTGGAAATTGGCTGTGACAAATGTGAATAGCAAATAGTCTGATAGCCCGCCGGTTGTTATGAGTGAGTTAATGAACGCCGGTCGGTCCTCCACAGACAGCCGTACTTTTAGCCGGATGGCTAATTGTTGACCAACCTAGATTTCGGCTCGGTCTTGGATGCCCTATTTCCAGGGTTGGTGTAATTAGCGGCTCTGACCGGGTGCTCAGAAGGTGTGGTTAGATTGATGAGATCCAGCGTCTCTCAGGTGCCTGTGGGGAAGGAGACTCTCGTCTGACAGAGAAAAGCCACGCAAATGGATGAGCTGGGAACGCCGTGACCCCGTTCTGCTCCGAAACCTGTCACCTGTGTTTCCTAACCGCATACGAGCGCAGAACGCTGGCGTACAGGAACATGGAGTCGCCTAGAATGAGTTTGTAAGTATTTTAGCCGTTTATTCGGCAGTAGTTCAGAGCTTCTGGGAGCTCAGAAGAGCTGTTTCTTCTGGTCACGGCCGATTGGTTTGTTTGTCTGATCGGGCTGCTGTCCTTATCTGGCCGATCCCAGCTAATGATCGTTCCCTCTGGAACATTCGGGATTAAACCTCATGACGGGTGGAGGATCTTGGATATTTCCTCCTCTCTTGGCCGTAAACTGGAAGCCTGATGTCCTCAGTAGATATGAGATTAAAGTTTGCCGTTATCACAGATTAGAGTGGATCAACTAAACCAGATTATGGATTAGTTCAGAACATTCTCCAGAGCAGACCAGAGTGAATTTTTGTCATTCTGTATGTTATGGGTTTGTGCAATTTTACAGATGAGACTGTTTGTTGTGGTTCTTTGTAGAAATGAGAAGATATCTGTGTCTTGTATAAGTCCAGCTTTGGTTTGATCTAACACTGCTCATAGATCTGAATGCATTAATATTGATGTTTTATTCATCTAGTCGTGTGTTTGTCATTTATAAACCAGCAGCAGTGAACAGTCTGTGGTTTGAGGTTCATGCTGATGTTTAATGAACGTGACGACATGTCTCTGAGTGGCTCTTCAAATACTGACCCGTAGAAATAATAATTGACCGCTTGAAATAGTTGTCCATTCGTTACTTGTTTTACTCGTATTTACCTGTTTTATCTTTCCATAATGTATTGCTGCTCCATCCTGTAGCTCGGTCCTGATGTAGTTGTTCAGTCTCAGTTTAATGTCCGTGTTCTTCAGTGTCTGCCTCGACGTCAGCGTGACCAGAGACAGAAATCTAGACGGTGATTTTCAGACAGTTTTGTTGTGTGTTAAAGCAGTAAGTGTGTGTTCATTCACAGTCATCACACACACACACGTCTGGAGCAGAGAATGCCTGAATCACCCACGTTATCGCTCTGATGAAACTCTTCAATCCGTCACTTTGAAAAGCCTTTCACGCATATTTTATGATGGTTTTAAAGCGACTCGTCCTCCGTGTAAATGTCATACGCTCGCTGTAATTGCTCTGACCTTTGGAGCGCTTCAGTGTGGGCAAACATGTCATGTGACGACCTGCAGCAGGAAATGACACGTCTCCGTCCTGTGATGTAATGACTGAGTGACACGTCTGCTCATGCTCTGCGCTGCTGCTGGCACGCTTTGTGCTGTTATTGAGAGTAAACGTGAGGAACGTGCCGCTGAATCTGACTGTCACACGAGTCTGTCTGCTGCCGTTCACTAGTAGAAATTAGGGCTGTCAAAATGGCTGAAAAACCAAATTTGAATTTTGTATTTAAATATTATTTACTAATCATATTCGAATTTAAAATGCATAATTTCAGTTAGGGTGAAGAAAAGCTTTTGGCTTCTCTCCTGAGGCCACAAGAGGGCGCGTCGAGCAAAATATTACTAATGCACATTTATTCAAAGCATAAGATAACATGACTATCTGTGAAAAAAGTGCATAATGTTTAAAATAATGTTTATAAACCATATATAATTAATTAAGTTGCATAAACAACTATAAACAAAACAGCATCATGTATGTATGCATAGTTTAATACGAAGAACTGAAAGCCAATCACACAGAGTACATTTTTCTCGAGATATGTTTTTTCAAAGTTGAACTTGCATTAATTTTCCATGGCTTTCTAAACATGCGGCTCTCTTGTGCGAGACGCGAGTGCAACGCTGATAGATGTTCCTCTAGAAAATGTGCGAAATATGTGTTCTGTGTGAACGCTTGGTTTCAGTTTTGATGTAAACAAGACTTTCTCCGCATTGATGTTCTCTTTTCCTGCAATATTTGTAATGAACAAAGCCGCAGCGCCGCATCTAGTGGCTTCAACTGGATATGCTAACAAACACATTATAATGCAACGACACTTACATCGTCATCTCATCTCGTGCTGCACTGATAAAGCTGCCCGACACACACCTATAATCCGAATGCAACGTTTTCGCTTTAGAATGTGGATTTTTATTTTAAATTCTACGAATATTCGAAATTCGAAAAATTTTTTACAACCCTAGTAGAAATAGATGAGTCTCATTGAAATCTCCATCTCTTCTGAGTCTGCTGTAGAAATTAACACACACACATGTATGAAGTATTTGGAAACTCCAGTCACTCATCAGCATAAATGAATTTTGTTGCATTAGATAGAAAATGTAAAAGCGAGTGGCATCAGTGCTGAAGTGATGCTGGAGCTTTTCTCTTCAGTAAACCTCATCGTTCTGAGCCGCTCTGTAAATGATCAGGAACCAGCGGATCTCCAGCTGATTTGCATGGATGAGTGAAGTCAGATCAAGGTTTCCTAGCAGAGGAACCATTACATTAATCTACTTCATCAAACTGACTCAAGTTCATGATGTTTGACTAACAGTGCGCTCGTAATATATTTCTTTCAAATATATTACAACATTTATACAGTTTTTAAGTTGTGGTTTATCCGAACACAGTCAGCAGCTGAAACACATGATCTGTGTCTGTTTCCCCGAGTCTGTGCCTGACACTGAAGTGCTTTGTGATTTTAAGTGGATGAATGCTTTGAGATTCAGACAGAAGCACTCACTCAACATCTGGACCCTGAGATGTATGTGTATGTGTGTGTGTGTGTGTGTGTGTATGTGTATGTGTATGTGTATGTGTATGTGTGTGTGTGTGTGTGTGTGTGTGTGTGTGTG